AAAAGTATATTTATATTTTTCATAAAAATCATTATAATCTTACAAAAATTATATCGTGTTTGGTCTTATTTTAATCGGAAAAAGCTCACAATATTGCATTGGCAATTCCGAAAAAGATAAAATTGAACTACGAATCTCGGTCTAAGCCACTTCAATCTCGAGGTCATCGATTCTGCCTGGCACCATGCTCGCACATCTAATGTGGACACCTTCAATCGAGCATGCTGCCAGCACGACCCGAACCTAGCACGTAGATGTGTATCGACCCTTATTCGAATGTCCGCAAGCAGATGAAACCCCTGCGATGAATAATACACTGTATAAACTCGTGTGAAACGAAGTACGCAATCCAATTATGTTTTTATGAGCGATACAAATGTCGGAGATATTTCACTATTGTTTACACGAGCACGGGAAACGGTAACGCGTCTCTCGTTGTTTGTTCAAAAAACGCGTCGCTAATTTTCCGCGAAAATCGAGAGCACAGAGTTCTCGAACAGTTTCAGACCGTCCTCGGACTGGAACGGTATCGAAACTCCCGGACAGCTCGGAAAATGTTTAGTTATTAAAATTCTTTGAAGTCCCGAGTGTCTTGGACGGCTTGAAATTTTTAATATTAAATATTTGGTGCTTCGCTTCACGTTTTAAATTTCATAAGCTCATGGATAAGTTAACGCCACGTAAGGTTCGTTGCAAATGTAAATGTAGAATTTTATTAACGAACGTAACTTTAAAGCTTTCGAACTTTCGAGAAATTGTCTACGAAACTTTCTGCTTAGATCTTTATATTTATAACGATAATTACGACGTTTCGAGTTGTATATTTGTTACAATCAGACTGCGGATCTTCGTGCGAAATAAAAACTTTTCGAAATCAATCGTATGGAACAGGGTTTAAGCGAAAATGCGTTTTATAATAATGAATCGAACGGAATGTTATCGAATTCCCAAATTCTTCTAATGGCAATTCTTCTAATCTAAAATTCATTCTAAAAACTCGATAAAAATACGTGAACCGAATTGACATTCTATTCCCGTGTGTGGCTCTCTTGAGTCAATATTAATATAAAACCATTCCACACCCCGGGCATAATCGATTTCCGTATTAGCAATTCAAAAACACTGGAATTTAAAATTCAATTCACTAGCACGAAGAATCATCATTGTTTTTGGAGAAATCTCTCGTGACACCCGTCACTAGTCAGCTCGATATTCAGCAATTAATAACGAGGCCGTTGATTAAACCACAACATGTAGGTTTAAGGCTATCGATCGATGAACACAAACTTTAAACTGTCAGTAGAAAATTGACAGGAATCGACAAAAATCTGTCTTTCACTCTTTTAGAAAATTCTATTTAAAAACGAAACCGCAGTTTTTGCTAGCTATAAAAGAAAATATGTTCTTATCTCACTTATTATTATTTTCTTATGATATTATTTCACTGCATCCTTAACACGTCGAAATTCATTTTTATTGCAATATCTTGAAAGAACTAAACGTTACTAAGATCTTTAGAACACAAAAGAGTTGAGTTGTTATTTTCTATGATATCTTTCTAGTTTTGGAATTGACATTCGGCATTTAACGTGTGAAAAATCATACTGAAATCGATTTTCTTGCAATGCTATTTCAGCATTTGTACCTTCTTCTACAAGCTTCTGGAATAAGATGTACGATCAATACGTCGAGAATCATCCTAAAATGGTTTAAAAAAAATGTACAAATTCTTTAATAAAATAATTACGAATACAAGTACTTGAATAAAATACACGGGGATAAAAGACGTTCGCCACAAAGGCCACGCGTCTTTGTTGTCGAAATAATTGATTCGAACGAATTTGCGTCGCACAATGGCACCGAAGTTAGCAACGAAGGAGGGACAATCTCTAGTTGCATAAAGGCTTGGAATCACGCTTATTTGAAGCGAGAGAGACCTGCCAGCCGGGGGGGGGGGGGACACCAAGAGCACTTTATCATTCGCAAAGTCGGTCTCGCGACTTCTCCTCTCTCTTAATGCATAAGTCGAGCGGTTGATGCACATCGTCTCCGTAACAAATACGGCTAACTAAGCGCAAAAGTGCAGCGCGTCCGCGAAAGCTTATTACTCGATGTTTACAACCGCGAAGAAACTTGGCCGACGACGTACATGCCGGAGAATCACACTTTAGGAACTCCGTAGAGAGAAGTTCCGCGGCAATTCCGACGACCATACTGAACAATTTCAAACGAGCCCTGACGACCCCTGATCTTATAATTAACCCATTTCGCTTTGAAGCTTTAATATTCAGTTGCCAGCCGAGATCCGACGATTCCGACCGACACGCAGCGTAATATTTCGATGATCTAGGCGGACTTAATACCGAATGACTATTCTCTTTGTTTTCCATTATGTGTTTTATTGTAATTACTTAGAATGCTGATTTATAAAAATGAGCATTATCGATTTCTTTATGAATTATAAGTGCTCCATCTCCTTACGCATCACGTACCATAAAATTAAATAGATGAAGGTAAAACGAGAAAATAATTTAAAATAAAATGATATAAAATAGAACAGAATAAAGTGTAATAATTTATATGTCGAGGTTAAAATTGTCTAAAAACATTCAATTTTCGAATTAAATCCTTCCAGGCTGTCGAAATACCGCGCTGTGCAACGGCCGGTCGCGTGTTTCTAGATCAATGTGCACTATCGTCCATAAGTCCCTCGACACTTGCTCATTAATTGCAGTTACGGTCGAGCCTCGATTATCCGAATTTGCCATTGTTCGAACAGGTTTCACGTGTAAACACCCGAAACCGAGGCGACGTATATGCAATACTATTTATTGCACGATTCACCGTAGATTTAAGCTCGCGTTGTAACTGTTCTACCAGATTAATCCTTTTGTACATGATGTTCACCTATTAGTACTAAAACTTGATCATTCTGTAGATCGTATTCACCTTTTTGCAAGTTTCATCAATAACGAATAACATCTTTTCGAAATGACCCATCCCTTTTATTTTAAAAGCGCTAAACAAATTATATGATCGATTAAATTCAATCGCTGTCGGCGTCTCCCTCGTTTCCTACGCCACGAAATCCCCCCTTCCCGAATTCTCAAGATAATCACGAGTGTGAACGACACCAAATTTTGAAGGATTTGACGTTAAAAGTTTTCGATCGGAGAAACTGCCGTCACGGAAATAGATTAACAACGAAAGCGGCTGCCAATATTTACCGCGAAATATTAAATCACGTGACATGATTTATACGGCGAAGCATTGGCGTAACCAGCCGGCGCGATAGTGTATCATATTCTGATCATCGGACGAGATGTATGTACATATATTCATTGGCAAATTGAGGTAGTCGGACTGGCGTTTGGTTTTCGAACGTCTAGTTAATAATACGTAAGCAATTATGCCCCTGTTGTTTATTAATGCTCGTCGTGTTACAGTATGGCGATTATGACGGTGATGCTTTATATTTCGGACGTCTGACTGTTCATTAGCGAACGTCAATATTTATTAAGCCCGCCAGATGGATGGCAACGCCGCGCCGGCAGTCGCAAACATCACGAAGTAATCGAATAATGTGTAAATACGGCTAATAAGAGTCCGTGTAAAGTAATAATTGGTGGCCCGCTGGCTCGCTAAAACATTCCGGGGCAGCGCAGTCGTCGACGCGACTATGTCCAATAGTAAAATGTAATTACACTCGCGCGCTTTGAGGAAAACGTTTTCACCGCGGAATTGGATGTTATCCCACCTCGCGAATCTGTTGCGCGATTGTTTGCAGTTTTTACGATAGCCTATGGAAATTACGTAAACGATGGAATCATGTCACTCTGTTCTTCGCTGATAGAATGCGCAATTCGAAATAACTTGACTGCCGATATCTTTATGCAGAATAGCAATCTTCAAAGACGATCACGAGAAACAGAAATTAAATGAAAATAAATTGCTTCTTTCGATAACGTCGATAAGTTCGATAATTTCCAATCGATTTTACTCCTCTCCTAATTATATCTTGATTAGAAATTAGACCGTCGATCTTTGCGCAAATTGAAAATGATTTGCATTAATTTCAGCGAACCCAATTGAATTTTATATCCTTTGTAATTTCAATAAATTGGCACGCTTCAATATTCTTCATTTGTTCAAATATTTTTACAGTCTTCAATTTCATCCATTCATTTTCGTCATGAATGCATACAATCAGTCGATTATTTACTATACACTCGTCAATATTCTCGGTTCTTAAAAAGGATCCCAAAAAAGCTGTCGCCTTAAATAGAAATGCAAGCTTATGAACACCACGATACACTAATTTTTATAATTTCATTGACCAAAAAGAAATTTATATAATAAGGGATTGCGCAGCTTCTGTTAAATACTTGACAAGACGAACCACCGAGAATTTGACAATGGGATTAAGAAATTACAGGCACGAAAAGCGCACGGCGCAGAAGATAAAACGTAACCCGTTACGAAAGTTTAATGTCTTCTTAAACCATATCAAAATAATTATTAATCAGCCGCGGCGGTGCTGTGAAGTTGAAACTTCAGCCGCTCCCATTGTTCCGCGTCTAAGACTGAACTCTTTGAGCGACTTTTCATTAAACAAGCGAAGGTAGAAGGTAAAGGTAACTGCACGGTCGATTCGAAGTTACGGACTTCCTTCTTTCCGCAATTAAATACACGGGATAGGCGCTATTTAATTAACGAGTTCGCGGAACGTCATATTTATTCGGTGAAACGCTGGGCACACTGGCCATATCTCGAACGGAGTCAAAGTGGAAGCGAAAGAGGGACAGAAGGGTAGTGAAAGAGGGAGTGAAAGATAGACAGGGAGAGAGAGAGGGAGGGAGAGAGAGAGAGAGAGAGAGAGAGAAAGAGAGAGTGAAGGAGAGAATGAGAGAGAGAAGGGACCATTTCTGCACAGTCAAAGTTTATTCTCAGCGTCACGAAGATTTAGAGGACATTAACGCAACATTGTTTTACTGTTTCAGACTTCGGCATAACTACGGGCCGGCAGGAGGCGCAATATCCCTGTGCCTTTGTTTATTACAGCAACGAGACAAGGAACGGGACGTTCGCGTCACCAAACTATCCCGGACTATACCCGCGTAACACCGAATGCCACTATTTCTTTACTGGCCAGCCAAATGAACGAGTCCATCTTCACTTCCACTTCTTCGACATCGAGGGACTGATGCCGTAAGTCGGAATTCATTATCCACGTGTACATTTATGCCGAGTGTCTCGGGCCTAGCTATATAGAACCCGCAGAATCTGCATGAAAGAATACGTTGAAAATCTGGAACAACGATCTTCTCCAAGAAAATACGTTTTCGAACGAATTAATGATTCAAAGTTATTTTAGTCTCAGTTTATTTGCACTTGTTGCTAGAATCGCTTGAAGTTTGAAATAATTACGTAATTTTAACGTATTTCGAATATTTTATAATTTCGACAGAAATCCCCTAAGATATGTCATTTTATTTGTACTTGTTACTAGAATCAATTTGAGTTGAAATAATGAATTAATTTTAACATATTTCGCGAATATTGTGAAATATTGCGTTCAATCAATTGCAGTTTCGGACCTATAAACCTATAAACAGATGCTATAACTTTATTCAATTTGTTCTAATGGTGATAATAACCGCCATATTATTATTATTATTATTATTATTATTATTATTATTATTATTATTATTATTATTATTATTATTATTATACTCTGTAAAATGTAATAAATTTCCATCAATTCTTTCATGTTCATGATTTTGTGTTTCCTATTTATTTATTTCTTACCGTAAATGAAAATGTAGGAAAGATTATGATTCGTTAGACTTCGTCCAATTTACACCGAACAATTAATCAACATCCCTGAATAACGAAATAATTCAGAATTTCTATTAATTTTTAAATCGTAGATAAATTTTTACGGCTGACTTCGTAAAACTCGATCTTCGAAATTGACGTGCTTTATCAATGCTGAATGAATATTAGTTTCTCGTGTGAAGTATTATTCCAAATGGTCGGTTGAAAAGAACAACATACGAAAACATGATTTATCGGATCGAGATAGAAGTACGAGTAGTTGTGCTTAATAAAATGGATCTACGTGTCATGTACAGTTTCACATTCCTGCTTTTTATCGCTTTCGCATTAAATATCTCGTGCACTGTTCGCTCTTCAAATGTCTCGTTCATCATGCATAAATAATGTCCGACAAAAAATTCATACATCCGTATGAATAAAATACGATTGCATAGAATCGAAAAGAAAGGGACCCGTGGAACTGTTAGTCGTGATTGGCGTACAGTTCTCATTGATACAGAAGAGATGAATAAAAAAAAAGTGAAAAAGTATAATTAAAATCGAGACTTCTGAATAAGCAATTGCAACGACCGATGGCAAGTAAATTCGATGATACATGTTATCAAATACGCGATTATTTAATTCCAGAAAAATAAGATTTTAATAAGCCTCGCAAAACACAAATAAAGTTTTCCTTTGATATTCTTCACTGAGCAACTTCTCTCGGAACATCAACTTTCGTAAACATTCGTGGTCTGCTTGTACAAGATATTTTTCTTCCGACTATAATTAACCATCCGTTCCCTTTTCAGCCACGAGAAAGAAAATTCTCTTGAATAATTAAGGACGAAGGTGACCCGTAAAGTACGTTTTCACTGAATCATTAATAAACCTTTGAGAACGTAAAAGAGACACGCTTCGTCCATAAAATAACTGAAAAAAAAATGACAACTGAATGCGTTACAGAGACTGCGGATATTAATGCGAAACAAAAACGTTCTCAATTCTCGCAACCGGTAGATTTAAATAAAAAGGTACAACAATAATTCTAATAGGTTCGCAGTATTTTGTTATAGTCCCCGAAGTTTCATGTTTCGCTGACATTCAGCTTCATATCGCATAAGATCCGCAGCCGGCTAATAAAATCGAGCCAAACGGAGGTCTATTAATCGAGGGTCGTTCTTTCAATTCGCCGCACGCGCGTCGCAAAAAGAGAAAGCAAATAATGCCCCGTAAAAGGATGAGTACGAGGCAATAACTCCAAAAATCTAATAAACGGGAAAACTTCGGAACAGTATAAAAGTACAGAGAAACGTAACCGTCGTACAGCCGAGATAAACCGACATGTCTATCGTGACTGGAATCCGATGTATCGATCCGGTTCCTACCACCTTTTCGTCACCGAGCGGGACGAGGCGAGACAAAGTGAGCATCCTTAGTCGACTAGAAGCCTGCTGGATGGGATTCGATACTAGTTCGATTGGTTCCCTGATATAATTCGACGTTCCACTAAATCAAACTGCGCCGAACAAAGTTTCGGAGACTGCTCATTCGAGACGCTCGTAGTCCGACGGCGGTGTCTTCTTAACTAGCTGATAGGCCGGAAGTCGATCAAAACGCGAAGTGCCCGCGTCACGCGGACCCGGCTGATTAACAAGCGGTTTAATTAGCGACGGTGAAGTAGAACGAGGCATTAGGACCGGCGCGGCACCGCGCGACGGAATCGAAATACTATTAACGGGGGAAAAAAGAAGATGCCGGCCACACGGCGACCTAATTGGATCGCGTTAAATCGCCATCAATAACCTACTGTAACGCGACGCTCCGTTCATTACCGCGGGGGAACCGCTAATTAGTCGTGTTTTTCCCAATGTCGGTCGAACTTTTAAACAATCGCGCCAAGAGGAAACACGAAGTAGGTCTCCCGGACTTCATCGATCCTGCCGGCCTCAAATTTGGCCTCGATTTCATACCCTCGGATTTGGTCGAGGTCAAAATCTTGGGTCGCGATGCATTTTTTAATTTGCCGAGAAGCTTTCGATAACTGCACAAAACGTAGGAGATACGGTAAATTCTCTGTAATTATCCTTCAGCTCGTTAACAAAAATGGAGGATTTGGAAACAGGAGATTAGCTGTGTACTATAAGTACCAGACAATCTTATAAATAATGTAAATTCCAAAATAATGTAACGTCCAGTTTTGTTCACAAGCTGAAGGAAAATTGGGGAGAATTTACTATACTTCTAAATTATAAAATTGTTGGAAATATAATGGCATTTGCCATTATATTGTTATTATTGCACTGTGGATCTTTGTGTCAATTAAAAATTATCTGCACTAATAGCAAGAAGCAGTAATCGGTTAGAAGTTCGTTTCTCAATTCGACAAACTTAATAAATTAAAAACAATGTATCGATATTCTTGAATTCCTTTGACTTTTAAAACATTATAATAAAGAGAGTTTACGCTTCTCTATAATTACATCTCTTCATTAAAAATCCAATAAAAATTGGTCCAGATGGTTCTCACGTTATATTAATATTTTGCAATTCACGAATTGTATAACTTTTAAGAGAGAATATAAAATACATCGGAGAATTAACATTTGCTTTTACTATGTTCAACATAGTTATGAAATTTAAGCTATTTTAAAATTCGAACTCACGTTTTTCTGTTACAATTATTATAGCATTGCTTCTTTAATCATTGTTCACTAAACTTTTGTTCCACTCGGTAAATATCATTTCATAATTATAAATAAACTGAAAATTTGATGCATTTATGGTACAAATGAATAAATGAAATACAAAGCCGCGAAGGCGTCGAAAGAATTTGACAATATTATTGTTATCTACAATTTCTTAGAACCATTTTTTTTTTAAAAGGCACATTTTTATTTCGCTTCCATTTTTTACGATTAACGTGGACAAATCTCTTTTCACAATTCTCCATAAATCCTAATGTATACGGTTTTATGCGAGAGATTAATAGAGATTTATAGCGAATTCCGTTCTCCGATGAAAGTATAGGAAAAGCTCGTTTAATATCACTTTATTTTTCACATTTCTCGGAACTCTGCTTACTCCAATAATTCCGTGAGTCGTTGTGTTATGGTTGAAACGGAAGTTCGATTAGGAGGAGTGCACGATAGGTAGAGAGGACAGTTCCTTAGATCATTGCGTTTCCATTCCGGGAGAAGGAAGATACATACTATACTTACTCGTAAATCCAAGTCCGAGTAAACAGTCGAAAATATATGTTTCGAAACGAGAAGGCCGAACGATGATCTATCACAGGAATTGCCACTTATGTCATCGGTACAAGGAACTCCCCGCGATATATTTTTCCCCTTTCGCGATAATAGCGCCATCGCTCTGATATCAATATTTCTCACGGACTCAATATATTATTTTTAAGAATGAATACATTCTTCGTCGCTGGAACGGTCCCATAAATCGATGTCGTCAATTACATTTATTCGCGCGATTCGCCGACTCCATTCCGACTTTAATTACGATATATGGATCACCGAAATGCTCGACGATTCTACGGGAACGCTTATCGCAGCTTTCAACTTTGTCAGTAGGCTGCGGATTTTTGTGCAAAATGAAACTTGTATGCAGCAATTGCAACGAGGAGAAATCAAGTAGCACCTTCATTCTTTCGTTGATCGTCGTAATAGATTATTAGTCTTGACATTTTAAAATGTCTCTAATTTTTACGCTATTTTAAATCGTAACTAATACTTTCAATTAAAAGTTGAAAATACTATAACAGTGTCCTAAAATTCTTCCAACATTTTTACAGTTTTGTGCTGTACCTATTCATTTTGTCAGAAATGCATAAAAGTCACAGTCCATTTATGGCAATTTTTCAAAACATATTTTGAAAAACGATTACAGTGATCCTACTTCTGTTGTTTCTAGTTTAACAGCAATTTATGTAACTTAATTGCCAAAAATCGAATAATTCACAGTCCGAGGGTTAATTCGATCAATTGTCATATTTTAAAGAAGTATGTTAAATTAAGATACAACCAGAGGCGAATAAAATATTTTACTGTCTCTAAAAAAAAAAAGTAAGTGAATTTGTACACACAATGTATACATTGAGATTGAAAAGATTCGAGGTATGTTGATAATACTGATGTTCCAGGGAATAATAGAAACGCTTCATGATTTTTATGAAATAAACCGTGGAAATGGGAATTTGCATAAAAATCCGCATTCTAGTCACAGCAGCTATCCACTCTACCATAGTCAATACCAATTTATTATACTTGAGTGCTCGGGATAGAGTGGATGGCTATTGTGAATGTCAGTGTATATCATTTTTAGAAAAGCAAACTATTGAACATGCCATCGGACCATAGAGCTACGAATATCACACTTTGTACGTGCTTGCTCTCTAAAAGTCAATTATATGTGACGTATCAATTCTTCTCCCGAACTAACTTCATAATTCTTATACTAACAATTCCACGGCTCGATTGACAAGTGTTGACACAATTCTACGTTCATTGATCGGTATGCCGTTTCTCTTGAAAAATTAAAAAATGAAACGTACTTTCGCATTCACCTATCAGGAAAAAGAAATTTTAATATTCGGATATTATATAATTAATATCTTAATAATAATAATTGTCTTTCAGTATTAAAATTCATGAAATCATTGCGAGAACTGTAATTAAGTTTCGCTCGTGCTAGTAGGTTTAATATTCGTCTCTCGAGTTCGAAAAACAAACTTTGATTAACTAAACAAATTAAGTCTGGAGAAATTCGATCTCGAGAGGGAAGAATTTGTTTTCGCTACCAATAATTTATAGATTAAAGCTTCTCCTTGACAACCCTTCACATTTGATATACGATTTTGGTGGTCTTAGCAACTTTCGAATGAAATACACGAAGGCTTCGCACGATCAAATATCCTCCTCGTTTTTATTCCATAAAACAGCCGAGAAGATCGTGCATAAAGTTTCACGGGGGTTGTTGCAAAGGGGAAGCTTCGGTCTTCAAATCTGGAATAAATTTAGTCAGAAAAAGCATTTATCAATGTTTCTAGAGACTTTACAATCCTTAGTATTTTCGCGGGTGAAAAAAGTGTCCTTGGTTTTCGACACGCTGTGTTATGCAAAAAGATCTTCGCAAAAAGGTGAATGATGTATTGCGCGAGCAGAGATTTCACGCATTAAAATCAGCCGAGATTTATCGTCGCGCGATTTTGCTGCGCGAAACGATCGCACGGTTCGAAAATCAACAACTTTCGTCAAATCAGAGCCGACAATCCCGCGTCATTACAGCCGAAGATAATGAAGTGCGCAGTTTCCGTTGAAACGACGTATTATTACATTCGCAAATACTATGCACGTATCTCGCGACCGGTGAGCCGAGAGAGGCCGGCGCAGTTTTTTTCTGGGGCGAGCGCTAAGCAAATAAAACAGCGCTAATTAATTCCGTTGCGCTCGACAATTTCGAGGCTCGCGTTTCTGTTGTTTCCACGGTGGACAATCGGCCGGAGGATGGGGGTGGCGTTTCTTGGACCGTGTGCCTACGCTGCCGTCAAAGTTATTTTCGCGCATCCGAACGGAACAAAAAATCGAAGTTGGCGGAAACGGTCGTTGCGCCCTCGCCGCGCCGATTCTCGCGCGCGGAAATAAAACCGTTACATGCGACGGCCGGGGTTCACTCTCGCGAACTTTAATCACGGATTATGTAACCGCCGAACGGATTCGTTGACTCCGTTGAAGTGGCGGGAAATATTTATGGGGCACGGGGACCGGAATAAAATTCGAGGGCGGGGAAATGTCCAAAGGATTCTGATTGTAAAGCCGCGCCGCGCGGCGTCGTCGCGCCCGGCTCTGGGTACGCATGTATATTAAAGTTATGCGCGGGAAGAGCCAAGATTGAATTACTTATGGAATTGCCGGTCCACGGCTATGAAAGCAATTTATGAGCAGGCGCAAGAAAACCCGAGAAAAACCATTCGAACTCCCCTCGATATTCGCCCGCGAAAACGTGAATATTTCACGGCCGTCCTCTCCCGGACACTTCGTCGTCCATGTATATCAATTTACGGCGGACTGTATAATGTTCAGCCTCGTCGAAAATATAAATTCCGGGGAACGGCCGGCCAGCCAGCTTAGATATCCCTGAATAATACAGTCGCGTTTCTATTTTATACATAATAGAATCAGACGGCCGGCCGGCACAGAGGCTTCTCTTCCGCGTAAAGTAGGTCGCGCCATAAATTTTAAGGCTTTCTAAATAGACTGCTGAGCGGTCGGAACCTCGAAATTGATATAGCGATGTGTTCCTCTGTAATAAGTGCCACGGATCTACCTGCGAATTCGTAGTTTTCTGTCGGGCTGGGTGAAGCGCGAACAGAACTTGATGGCTTAACGACCGGACGGCTGCAGCCTATGAAATATTTTGGAATAAAATATTTACGACTTCCTTCATCGTGTACGTGTAACTATTATTTTGGTTTTATCAGAGTCTGAATTTATTTTTATATAGACTGTTTAACTATTATCACAACTCTAAAACAAAATCAGAGATTAATATTGATTTCGACAGGTTGGAAATACAATGTTGGGGTCACTCGTGACCCCAGTATACTAATCAAGAATTGAATCTTTGATACATAGTCTAGTTCTTTAATTATAAAATACTCTTTTAAAAAAAGAGTTCTTTTCACAAAGAACTAGTAATGACAACAATCTGTTGGAGTGATCGTTGTTAACTTGTACACGATGTTGGTAAGAGAAGAAAATGAATTAAAGAATTTGTATAATGATATTGTAGTAAAATATGGTCTCTGACATAATCCTCCGCTCTTGGAGGAGAACAAAAGACTTTTCTAAAACGGTTTCATCCTGAATCCTTTCTTGAAGCTTAAAAGCTACCTTTAAAAGTGTTCAGCTTATTAAGGTCGTTAAGCGAAGGAAGAACTTTCCACTTGATTTTTCTTCCTTGAAATTAATGTGAACAATAACGTCAACGTTCTGAACGTTCTTTCGCACTCATCGATTGACATTCACATGAAAGTTCGTCATTCGCGATAAAACAATCTCGCAATATCGAAGACTTAAGAGTTTCCAATCTGTTGATTCTCGTGATACTTTAAAACGGAAAGATTTAACGCCGATATAACGAAAGGAAGTGCGACAGTGTTCAAGTTCATATTTAAGCGGAGGAATCCAAAATATTTAGCCGGAAGTGACACGGAAAGGAGTGGCTTAAAAGGAGACTGCTAGCGTGCAGCTTAAATATCTATTAAAAGTTTCACTCGGAAAAGAACTTCTTATGGACAGCATTCTTCCTCAGCCCCGTGGGCTAATTTAGGAAGATAGAATTAAATGCCTTACATATTTCTTCCGGTAAACATTTTACGAAGTTTTTAATCCAGGCTATTTTTATACTGCTAACAACGGTCTCCGTATTACTGAATTTTCCTCGTAATTCTAACTGCATAAAAAGCACAATGTTTAATAATTACAGACACGTCGCGAAGCTGCACAAAGATATCGTTTTACACAATTTTCTTATACTCGAAAGGAACCGGAGACTTGTTTCGAATAACAAAAGAAATTATAAAATAACTTGTTGGAATGTAAATAAGAATTATATATTGATTATTAATTGATTCTATATAGAAATTAATTCAGAAATCTTTTTATCGCAAGGTGAAATAATAAAAAGATAATTCCTGCACGTAAAATAATAATGTTCTAAAACGATTGCAAGAGGCAGGAATTAAATATAAGGAATTGTTTCTTTTCATAATTTCAGTGAGTTAAAAATAATGGAAATAATAATAACATAACATAAATTCAGAAAATCCGCATGGTTATCATAGATTCCATGATGATTTGAAATCATTGCGAAACAATTTATACGAAATTTTGCCACACGTATAATCTTTTCATGTTAATGAACGATTAGAATTTCTCTATTAAGCATTACATACGATAGGAACAATAAAATTTCCTATTTTGCTACTAGATTTGAGACGCGTTGTAGAATATTTTCCCGTTAAATTCGCGTCTGTGAATTACAGATGGTGACACATGTAATTATGACTTTTTCAGATGCGCCTCACTGACGGCGAGCGACTTCGTCGAATTTTCAAATTACCTGTCCAGGGACAGGAAGTACCCGAGGCATTGTGGTCAGCTGAAGGAGTTCGACGTAGCAAGCGACAGGAAGTTCTTTCGTGTGACTTTTAAAAGTAATGACAGATACGACGGAACAGGATTTAACGCCAGCTACGTGTTTGTGGACGAAGAAGGGAATTATACAACAAAGCCACCAACGAGTAACGCGTCAACGTTAAAAGGTAAAACGGAATTCCCTTTGGCCACGATTTTCTCGAATTTTTACGTCCTCTCGGCTTTTTACCGTCCTTCAGTTAATGTCTTTGTACAGCGAAATTAAATAATAGTTACTCAAATCTCATTTGTCGAGTATTTCCGAGAGAAATACATATTCCTAGCAAAATAGTCTCTGAACAATGATTTTCATGTTCGAATTCTGCAGAAGCACATATACATCTATTTTTTGTTAATCTGTTAACCCTTTACACTCGAGTGGTGACTCTAAGGCACCACTAAAATTTGTTACATCACGTTTTAAGATAACTTTTATATGAACAAAGTTTAGATTTAAAAGATTGTTAAGAGAGTAATTGTTGTGTGACTCCCAAGAAATAATTTCATATGCATAAAATGCATTTTGCCATATAAAATAAAAACACTATAAGTTAGAAAAATAATTTTATATTTACAGTTAAAATAGCTTCGAGTGCAAAGGTTTAAATATTAGTTACTGAAAAAATGAAAATTTCTCTTCACATTATTAACTGAATGAAAATGATTCATTTAAAAAGTATTTCCAACAAAAAAGTGTTAGGAAAGAGTAATATGTTAAAATCGAGCTCGAGAACGGAATTACTGACTAAAAACGCGGAAAACTGAAAACCCGGAATATCAAGCTTGAAATTACATAAATAATACAAGAGAGATAAATTAATAATTGACAGTACATGATTACAAATTGCAAATTTATAAGCGTACAGTAAATGAAAATGTGTCACTTCCAGTGAGTTTTCAACAATATCAATGATTCAATAAAAATACGGAAATGTGCATTAATATAATAAAATCCATTTGCGTGAAATAAACGCCCAGAAAGCACATCGTAATGTCAAGAACATTATTTAATATGATATCAAACTGTTGCAATTAACACGAGATTCTCTCTCATTAAATGCAAATTGCGATACAGAATTTAATACAAAAATCCGATAAAACGTTGACAATGACTAGACCGCGGATTTTATGCGTTTACAACAAAAACGAGTAGGCGAGATTTGAAAAAAAAAGATAAAAAGATCGCATGAATCGAAGAGTATCGATATATTATTTCCGTTCCGATGAAATTGTTATAAAAAAGGAAGATATTCCTAATTGGCTCTTGCACTGTGCAACAATACCAGAACATATTTATTTTGCATAAGAATCCGTGGTGAAGTAATAACACGTCGAATCCGGACGAAACCAGCGGAATTAGGTTCTGAAATATGCAGGTCAAACGTAGTAATCGAGTTGATGTCGCGGCGCTGATACTGGAGCATGGAAGTGCGAGATTGATTAGGTGAACACTCGCGGAACATAGTTTGCAATGTAAACGCTATTACGAATCCGCACTGCGAGGCGCGCGACGTATAAATTTCTTATAATCTCGCTTGCGCGCAGCCGAGCAAGGTGAACGTCGACAGGTGTAAAGATCCCGTGAATATTTCGCGGATCAACGATAACCGGGGACAGCGGGTTTTGGATTTAAAAAAAAGAATGAAAAAGAAAAATAGTTCGAGCCACTCATTGGATCACGCGGATTTATCATGCAATCCCATGAATAATAGACAGTTTACATCTGAAACAGCAGAAGCCGAGCGTCAACGGCAAAGAGATTTCATGCAATTTATAGGGAGGATTTTCGATGGACCTCTGGTCTGGCCTGCAGGTATTGATAGAAGAAATCGAGTTTTTGTGTGCTTCCTTCCATTATTAATCATTCAGCGGATGGATACGTTTGCTTTAATCGTACATAAATCGGACGGATCGCGGAGCCGCCATGGGAAACAGGAAGTAAATACCGGTTCCTGCAGCAGCCCGCCGGCTGTTACGGATGTACACGTTCGTAATATTATGTTTTGTTTAAACTAGATATTATGTTCCACCTCGAATATGGTTATTTTCGAACGAAGCTTGTTTTCACGACGTTTCAGCGATCACTGTTCTCGATGTCATGATTTGAAGATCCTGGCTTTGTTCAATCGTCGATTCTTTTTAAGTTAGGATAAAGATGTCTGATGTGAGACCCAGTTTGGCTTTCCCAGAAAAATTTTGTTCAATATACTGTAAATTCTCCCTGATTGACTGTCGGCTTGTACACAAAATCTACTCGATCCTTGGTTTTCTTTTTGTTTTCTTTTTCTTTTTATGATTACCGATTGTCAACAATTATAAAAACGAGACGCAAGGTTATGTCAAGGTTTTATTTTTACAGTTACCGATTATCAATAACTATAAAAGCGAGACCCAAGGTTCGAATAATCGTACCTCTTCTTCCCAAATTTTCCATTTTTCTTTCTAAGCTGAAAGTCAATTAGGGAGACTTTATTATATAATATATAATATTGTTTGATGTATATAAAATTAATACTAATAACAAATACAATTCTCTCGATGCAACGGACTTACATATTCAGTTTACTGGACTGCAATTGCAAACGATAATTCAATTATAAATTAATTATCGCGTGAAAATTCAATAAATGCTATAAAAAGAAAAAAATGAAAACGAACAGACAATGGTTTGCTTTCGCTACTTAAATCGATGCATTAAATCAAGACAGCGCTCCTTAATTAATCCCATCGGTGAAGTTTCCAAAATTGAAAGAATTTTGATTAGTACAGCATGTATGGGATTTAGGACGATAATTTCGAAAATGTCGAAGAAAGAGAAACACGGATGCGTGCACAATTTAAAATACTTCGCTCGAAAGGTTGCTGCAAGTTTCGTTCGGCTTCCCTTTATGCATACGAAACTTGATTCTTGTCTTTACGATTGGTATGCAGTTTACAACACGCGCAGATATATGTATAAAAGGAATTGCTACTATCTATTCGAGATACGTTCTCAGTTTCTCCTTGTTCTTTGCAGGATCTGCAATCTTTGTAAGATTGGACGACACAAAATATTGGATGTTATTGAAGCGTGTCTTAAATCGTTGTTACATTGAATGGGCATTTATAGAATTTGTCAATAATCTTTTCAGTAAATATATTAATTTATGTATTGGACGTGCGTCTCGTTGAAAACGTCGGGATCATCGATTGCAAATTTTGCAGTGGTCTGAAGCATAATATGGAAAACTTCTTAATCTGTCGAATTTGAATTAAAATTTGAAATCCACAATCTGTGGCAAGAAGTATTCGACCAAACAAATTCAGTCCATCGTTATAGTTATTTGATGTGGAAATTTTGCTCATTAACGATAAAGGCAAATGAAATGACAAAAGTGGACAATTTCTTCATCGTCGAATGCATCACACAAATTATTATAATATTTTGGCATGCTATTTAAATTTTTACCTAATTTTCTTACAATTAGAGACGATGTATTATTTTATATTTTGCAGAAAGTTGAAAGCAATTGATTGATAAACGTTGCTTATAAATATCGTTAATATTAACATCGTCAATATAACAATTTCGAATTACTACTCGAACTGGTCGTTCAACAATCACGGTTTCGACGAACCATTTTCCGAAATTATTGCCGCAGCTTCGCGGGACAATGACGCCGATGCGTTCTGAAATATTTGATTACGCGGAGGAAGAAGGGTGCGAAGGAAAATAACCGGCGGAACAAAGCTCGCCGCGGGAACACTTGATTCTGTGTTCGACCATGTAATGGATAGGATTAATAAAACCGATTCGTTACCGCGCGTAATAGTCCGGCGTTCGGTCCTTCACCGGCCACAATTTATGAATAAATCGTCGAAGACATTAACGCGGACAAAGGAAAAAGAAAAAAAGCGGGATCGAAATAGATTGTTCGATTGAATCCTGTGGAAGTTAAATGGAAACGGAATTACTGTGCCAGGATTTCGGTATAATCGGGGAAATTGCCGTGGCGGCCGTTGCGCGGAAACTAATTACATTTGCATGTAAAAACGATAATGAAAGGCCGGCAGGAAGTATTTCGAAAAGTCGGGAAATATTAGGAAAATCAACAAGTAGATCGAATTGGCCGTGGCCGCCGATTTTCGAACTGACCGGATGTAGAGCAATTAATAACGCGCGCGCGGTAAGTAACAATGAATCCGATCAAAGGGGTCTTGGATACGGCGTAGCCGTACATTAATTTAGTGAATTTAATTTATGTAATGACATATTAAACACGAATCAGGATGTACCGTACCTGCGGCAGCGGATATTGCTCGGGATAACGCACACACGCGCGCGCGCGCGCGGCAACCTTTGCATTAATTTAAATTGAATCAGTTTACACGTTACGAAAAGTATTCGGCTTTCCCACGTAACAACTGTCCGCTGATGCTAATATTCTATCGACACGCGAATCTCCCGGTTATTTCTCGGCGTTTAGCCGTAACGCTTATTAATTCTTCCCATTCGCCGTGATCATCGTCCGGAGAGTCATCGTTTTAATTCCCCACATTCATTAGCGACCAACGAAGTCCGCGCCTGTCCTATTAGACCCTCTGTTCTCCGCGCGGATTTCACCATTGTAATTCGCTCACTCGCCGGAACAGAGATTAGCCATTTGTCAATGTTGACCTGCATAAAACTTCAATTAGCTGTTTATTAAAACTATCCCGAAGTTACCGCGAAACAGCCACTGTTTAAAATAGTCAGTTTAAAATAGTCTTGTCCAGCTTTTCTTCTCGGATTTTAATAACTTTCGATCAGCACAGTTCTTTTTAATTTATTGTACTTCATAGACTACTTGCAAGTATTATTTATCTGTACATTAATATTCTTTCAGTCTGTTGCTTAGTTTCATTTTAATAATTACACATGCTTTCATTACACATGTTATTCAGTTTAGCAATTATAATTTAATAACTATGCGTGTATATTTAAAATTTTATGTTTATCATCGTTATTCTTTTCGTTCCGCCTTGAGTGCGACGAGCATTAATATTCTCATTTTTCGAGCGAGTTGCTTCAACGTGGAATACTTTTTTCGCGAACATGTTTCACCTACGTGCAGTTTTTGCTCCTTCGATTGATAACTAAAAATCGAAAAACGGTACGAACAGTATCTATTGTTCATATCAGCATTGTTGCAAAGTACTCTGAATTTGTTCCTCCTGCAAACGTGACATATATAAAGATTTATCTACAATAAATTACAAATCCTGTGTTAATCCAACGCACATTAACGAAGATTTAAAATATAACAATGCGTTTCGCAAAATTATGCTACTTTATCAACACACGGAAAAGAATATGTTCAAGAATAGAAGCAGAAATTACATAATTTTAAAAGGTCAATATTTCATTCATCGTTGCTTTCTCTGCGATAAATTATTGTAAACAACGTAGCACGTTTATTCGTCAGTCTAACAAACTCGTTTAAACAAACACGTCTACACAAATAAAATATATAAAAATCTGTAATAAATCACAAATCCTGTGTTAATCCAACGCACATTAACGAAGATTTAAAATATAACAATGCGTTTCGCAAAATTATGCTACTTTATCGACACACGGAAAAGAATATGTTCACAAGAATAGAAGCAGAAATTACATAATTTTAAAAGGTCAATATTTCATTCATCGTTGCTTTCTCTGCAATAAATTATTATAAACAACGTAGCACGTTTATTCGCCATTCTAACAAACTCGTTTGAACAAACACGTCTACACAAATAAAATATATAAAAAGCTCGTAATATTGCTCAATAAACCGTATTAAATAACTGCTCGATAATCCTGCATAACAAACGTACAAAAAGTAGCCGAGTCGCTTCAGATCGGAATTAAAGCGGCTCGCCCCATTGTTGTTCGATAGTTGTCGGAAAGAATCGCGGACAAGAGAACCAAAACCAAAGAAAATAACAGCAGCGCGGCTCGGCGCAGCTACGGATTAAGAGGGAAAATACAATAGAATTGCGTAACAGTGGCGAGGCAAACAGACGGTGGGGGGGGGGGGGGGGNATAACATAACATAAATTCAGAAAATCCGCATGGTTATCATAGATTCCATGATGATTTGAAATCATTGCGAAACAATTTATACGAAATTTTGCCACACGTATAATCTTTTCATGTTAATGAACGATTAGAATTTCTCTATTAAGCATTACATACGATAGGAACAATAAAATTTCCTATTTTGCTACTAGATTTGAGACGCGTTGTAGAATATTTTCCCGTTAAATTCGCGTCTGTGAATTACAGATGGTGACACATGTAATTATGACTTTTTCAGATGCGCCTCACTGACGGCGAGCGACTTCGTCGAATTTTCAAATTACCTGTCCAGGGACAGGAAGTACCCGAGGCATTGTGGTCAGCTGAAGGAGTTCGACGTAGCAAGCGACAGGAAGTTCTTTCGTGTGACTTTTAAAAGTAATGACAGATACGACGGAACAGGATTTAACGCCAGCTACGTGTTTGTGGACGAAGAAGGGAATTATACAACAAAGCCACCAACGAGTAACGCGTCAACGTTAAAAGGTAAAACGGAATTCCCTTTGGCCACGATTTTCTCGAATTTTTACGTCCTCTCGGCTTTTTACCGTCCTTCAGTTAATGTCTTTGTACAGCGAAATTAAATAATAGTTACTCAAATCTCATTTGTCGAGTATTTCCGAGAGAAATACATATTCCTAGCAAAATAGTCTCTGAACAATGATTTTCATGTTCGAATTCTGCAGAAGCACATATACATCTATTTTTTGTTAATCTGTTAACCCTTTACACTCGAGTGGTGACTCTAAGGCACCACTAAAATTTGTTACATCACGTTTTAAGATAACTTTTATATGAACAAAGTTTAGATTTAAAAGATTGTTAAGAGAGTAATTGTTGTGTGACTCCCAAGAAATAATTTCATATGCATAAAATGCATTTTGCCATATAAAATAAAAACACTATAAGTTAGAAAAATAATTTTATATTTACAGTTAAAATAGCTTCGAGTGCAAAGGTTTAAATATTAGTTACTGAAAAAATGAAAATTTCTCTTCACATTATTAACTGAATGAAAATGATTCATTTAAAAAGTATTTCCAACAAAAAAGTGTTAGGAAAGAGTAATATGTTAAAATCGAGCTCGAGAACGGAATTACTGACTAAAAACGCGGAAAACTGAAAACCCGGAATATCAAGCTTGAAATTACATAAATAATACAAGAGAGATAAATTAATAATTGACAGTACATGATTACAAATTGCAAATTTATAAGCGTACAGTAAATGAAAATGTGTCACTTCCAGTGAGTTTTCAACAATATCAATGATTCAATAAAAATACGGAAATGTGCATTAATATAATAAAATCCATTTGCGTGAAATAAACGCCCAGAAAGCACATCGTAATGTCAAGAACATTATTTAATATGATATCAAACTGTTGCAATTAACACGAGATTCTCTCTCATTAAATGCAAATTGCGATACAGAATTTAATACAAAAATCCGATAAAACGTTGACAATGACTAGACCGCGGATTTTATGCGTTTACAACAAAAACGAGTAGGCGAGATTTGAAAAAAAAAGATAAAAAGATCGCATGAATCGAAGAGTATCGATATATTATTTCCGTTCCGATGAAATTGTTATAAAAAAGGAAGATATTCCTAATTGGCTCTTGCACTGTGCAACAATACCAGAACATATTTATTTTGCATAAGAATCCGTGGTGAAGTAATAACACGTCGAATCCGGACGAAACCAGCGGAATTAGGTTCTGAAATATGCAGGTCAAACGTAGTAATCGAGTTGATGTCGCGGCGCTGATACTGGAGCATGGAAGTGCGAGATTGATTAGGTGAACACTCGCGGAACATAGTTTGCAATGTAAACGCTATTACGAATCCGCACTGCGAGGCGCGCGACGTATAAATTTCTTATAATCTCGCTTGCGCGCAGCCGAGCAAGGTGAACGTCGACAGGTGTAAAGATCCCGTGAATATTTCGCGGATCAACGATAACCGGGGACAGCGGGTTTTGGATTTAAAAAAAAGAATGAAAAAGAAAAATAGTTCGAGCCACTCATTGGATCACGCGGATTTATCATGCAATCCCATGAATAATAGACAGTTTACATCTGAAACAGCAGAAGCCGAGCGTCAACGGCAAAGAGATTTCATGCAATTTATAGGGAGGATTTTCGATGGACCTCTGGTCTGGCCTGCAGGTATTGATAGAAGAAATCGAGTTTTTGTGTGCTTCCTTCCATTATTAATCATTCAGCGGATGGATACGTTTGCTTTAATCGTACATAAATCGGACGGATCGCGGAGCCGCCATGGGAAACAGGAAGTAAATACCGGTTCCTGCAGCAGCCCGCCGGCTGTTACGGATGTACACGTTCGTAATATTATGTTTTGTTTAAACTAGATATTATGTTCCACCTCGAATATGGTTATTTTCGAACGAAGCTTGTTTTCACGACGTTTCAGCGATCACTGTTCTCGATGTCATGATTTGAAGATCCTGGCTTTGTTCAATCGTCGATTCTTTTTAAGTTAGGATAAAGATGTCTGATGTGAGACCCAGTTTGGCTTTCCCAGAAAAATTTTGTTCAATATACTGTAAATTCTCCCTGATTGACTGTCGGCTTGTACACAAAATCTACTCGATCCTTGGTTTTCTTTTTGTTTTCTTTTTCTTTTTATGATTACCGATTGTCAACAATTATAAAAACGAGACGCAAGGTTATGTCAAGGTTTTATTTTTACAGTTACCGATTATCAATAACTATAAAAGCGAGACCCAAGGTTCGAATAATCGTACCTCTTCTTCCCAAATTTTCCATTTTTCTTTCTAAGCTGAAAGTCAATTAGGGAGACTTTATTATATAATATATAATATTGTTTGATGTATATAAAATTAATACTAATAACAAATACAATTCTCTCGATGCAACGGACTTACATATTCAGTTTACTGGACTGCAATTGCAAACGATAATTCAATTATAAATTAATTATCGCGTGAAAATTCAATAAATGCTATAAAAAGAAAAAAATGAAAACGAACAGACAATGGTTTGCTTTCGCTACTTAAATCGATGCATTAAATCAAGACAGCGCTCCTTAATTAATCCCATCGGTGAAGTTTCCAAAATTGAAAGAATTTTGATTAGTACAGCATGTATGGGATTTAGGACGATAATTTCGAAAATGTCGAAGAAAGAGAAACACGGATGCGTGCACAATTTAAAATACTTCGCTCGAAAGGTTGCTGCAAGTTTCGTTCGGCTTCCCTTTATGCATACGAAACTTGATTCTTGTCTTTACGATTGGTATGCAGTTTACAACACGCGCAGATATATGTATAAAAGGAATTGCTACTATCTATTCGAGATACGTTCTCAGTTTCTCCTTGTTCTTTGCAGGATCTGCAATCTTTGTAAGATTGGACGACACAAAATATTGGATGTTATTGAAGCGTGTCTTAAATCGTTGTTACATTGAATGGGCATTTATAGAATTTGTCAATAATCTTTTCAGTAAATATATTAATTTATGTATTGGACGTGCGTCTCGTTGAAAACGTCGGGATCATCGATTGCAAATTTTGCAGTGGTCTGAAGCATAATATGGAAAACTTCTTAATCTGTCGAATTTGAATTAAAATTTGAAATCCACAATCTGTGGCAAGAAGTATTCGACCAAACAAATTCAGTCCATCGTTATAGTTATTTGATGTGGAAATTTTGCTCATTAACGATAAAGGCAAATGAAATGACAAAAGTGGACAATTTCTTCATCGTCGAATGCATCACACAAATTATTATAATATTTTGGCATGCTATTTAAATTTTTACCTAATTTTCTTACAATTAGAGACGATGTATTATTTTATATTTTGCAGAAAGTTGAAAGCAATTGATTGATAAACGTTGCTTATAAATATCGTTAATATTAACATCGTCAATATAACAATTTCGAATTACTACTCGAACTGGTCGTTCAACAATCACGGTTTCGACGAACCATTTTCCGAAATTATTGCCGCAGCTTCGCGGGACAATGACGCCGATGCGTTCTGAAATATTTGATTACGCGGAGGAAGAAGGGTGCGAAGGAAAATAACCGGCGGAACAAAGCTCGCCGCGGGAACACTTGATTCTGTGTTCGACCATGTAATGGATAGGATTAATAAAACCGATTCGTTACCGCGCGTAATAGTCCGGCGTTCGGTCCTTCACCGGCCACAATTTATGAATAAATCGTCGAAGACATTAACGCGGACAAAGGAAAAAGAAAAAAAGCGGGATCGAAATAGATTGTTCGATTGAATCCTGTGGAAGTTAAATGGAAACGGAATTACTGTGCCAGGATTTCGGTATAATCGGGGAAATTGCCGTGGCGGCCGTTGCGCGGAAACTAATTACATTTGCATGTAAAAACGATAATGAAAGGCCGGCAGGAAGTATTTCGAAAAGTCGGGAAATATTAGGAAAATCAACAAGTAGATCGAATTGGCCGTGGCCGCCGATTTTCGAACTGACCGGATGTAGAGCAATTAATAACGCGCGCGCGGTAAGTAACAATGAATCCGATCAAAGGGGTCTTGGATACGGCGTAGCCGTACATTAATTTAGTGAATTTAATTTATGTAATGACATATTAAACACGAATCAGGATGTACCGTACCTGCGGCAGCGGATATTGCTCGGGATAACGCACACACGCGCGCGCGCGCGCGGCAACCTTTGCATTAATTTAAATTGAATCAGTTTACACGTTACGAAAAGTATTCGGCTTTCCCACGTAACAACTGTCCGCTGATGCTAATATTCTATCGACACGCGAATCTCCCGGTTATTTCTCGGCGTTTAGCCGTAACGCTTATTAATTCTTCCCATTCGCCGTGATCATCGTCCGGAGAGTCATCGTTTTAATTCCCCACATTCATTAGCGACCAACGAAGTCCGCGCCTGTCCTATTAGACCCTCTGTTCTCCGCGCGGATTTCACCATTGTAATTCGCTCACTCGCCGGAACAGAGATTAGCCATTTGTCAATGTTGACCTGCATAAAACTTCAATTAGCTGTTTATTAAAACTATCCCGAAGTTACCGCGAAACAGCCACTGTTTAAAATAGTCAGTTTAAAATAGTCTTGTCCAGCTTTTCTTCTCGGATTTTAATAACTTTCGATCAGCACAGTTCTTTTTAATTTATTGTACTTCATAGACTACTTGCAAGTATTATTTATCTGTACATTAATATTCTTTCAGTCTGTTGCTTAGTTTCATTTTAATAATTACACATGCTTTCATTACACATGTTATTCAGTTTAGCAATTATAATTTAATAACTATGCGTGTATATTTAAAATTTTATGTTTATCATCGTTATTCTTTTCGTTCCGCCTTGAGTGCGACGAGCATTAATATTCTCATTTTTCGAGCGAGTTGCTTCAACGTGGAATACTTTTTTCGCGAACATGTTTCACCTACGTGCAGTTTTTGCTCCTTCGATTGATAACTAAAAATCGAAAAACGGTACGAACAGTATCTATTGTTCATATCAGCATTGTTGCAAAGTACTCTGAATTTGTTCCTCCTGCAAACGTGACATATATAAAGATTTATCTACAATAAATTACAAATCCTGTGTTAATCCAACGCACATTAACGAAGATTTAAAATATAACAATGCGTTTCGCAAAATTATGCTACTTTATCGACACACGGAAAAGAATATGTTCACAAGAATAGAAGCAGAAATTACATAATTTTAAAAGGTCAATATTTCATTCATCGTTGCTTTCTCTGCGATAAATTATTGTAAACAACGTAGCACGTTTATTCGTCAGTCTAACAAACTCGTTTAAACAAACACGTCTACACAAATAAAATATATAAAAATCTGTAATAAATCACAAATCCTGTGTTAATCCAACGCACATTAACGAAGATTTAAAATATAACAATGCGTTTCGCAAAATTATGCTACTTTATCAACACACGGAAAAGAATATGTTCAAGAATAGAAGCAGAAATTACATAATTTTAAAAGGTCAATATTTCATTCATCGTTGCTTTCTCTGCGATAAATTATTGTAAACAACGTAGCACGTTTATTCGTCAGTCTAACAAACTCGTTTAAACAAACACGTCTACACAAATAAAATATATAAAAATCTGTAATAAATCACAAATCCTGTGTTAATCCAACGCACATTAACGAAGATTTAAAATATAACAATGCGTTTCGCAAAATTATGCTACTTTATCGACACACGGAAAAGAATATGTTCACAAGAATAGAAGCAGAAATTACATAATTTTAAAAGGTCAATATTTCATTCATCGTTGCTTTCTCTGCAATAAATTATTATAAACAACGTAGCACGTTTATTCGCCATTCTAACAAACTCGTTTGAACAAACACGTCTACACAAATAAAATATATAAAAAGCTCGTAATATTGCTCAATAAACCGTATTAAATAACTGCTCGATAATCCTGCATAACAAACGTACAAAAAGTAGCCGAGTCGCTTCAGATCGGAATTAAAGCGGCTCGCCCCATTGTTGTTCGATAGTTGTCGGAAAGAATCGCGGACAAGAGAACCAAAACCAAAGAAAATAACAGCAGCGCGGCTCGGCGCAGCTACGGATTAAGAGGGAAAATACAATAGAATTGCGTAACAGTGGCGAGGCAAACAGACGGTGGGGGGGGGGGGGGGGGGCTCGNGGGGGGGGGAAAAAAGGGGGGGGGGGGGGGGGGGGGAGCTCAGTTCAGTGGCATCAGCTCCCTAGATTTGGCCGATCATGGAAGTAATTAATGCGTCCGGCTCCGATTTCCCTCTATAGAGTCTAACCGGTAATTGAACCGGATCAGAAAAAAATCAACCGTCGAAGCTAAATGAAGGCAATTATTATCGGCGCGCACGCCAAACACGGCTGGTCAAATTGAATTGGGTTGCATTGTTTCAGAACGGCCCGCGAAATAGAACGCGGGACCAGGGCCGTATTTATGGCCGACGTTTGATATCGCGATTCCTTCGATCGGGTCGTTCGAAATTATAAACTTTATACTCGTCGATTTCGTGTTAACTCGAAATTATCGTACGTTCGACTCGAAGATATTCAGTCAACCCGCGCGCCTCTTAGAATTGCCGAACGATTCGGGTTCGTTATGGAACGGAAGTCCCGCGTTTCTGTTTGTCGCACCCTTGGCGCAAGCTCTTTTATTCGATCGTGTACCTTCGATCGCAATTACTTTCAAGGTATATGTCCCCAACCGACGCGGCGCGGCGCGGCGCGGCGAATCTCTGTGCGGGATTTTTCCAATGCCCGTGTCATAGCGGAACGAAAATCCCCGCTGGTCGTTTCGGATGCAGATCAACGCGAGAAATGCTGCGATTCAACTGTGGCTGTAAAAGCGCACCGCATTGTACATCGGTTCGAGGATATAAATGTTCTTTCGCCGCTTGTAAACTCATTCGGACGTCTGGTTCGAATCGGCGTGATCAGGGTAAAAAACGGATTCGGCGCGGAACAGAACGAAAACGGAAGCGAGTGAACGCTTGGAATCGCGCAAAACATTTTGCAGATTTTCAAAGATTTCATTTGCCATAAAGTTTGGTCCGTTATTGATTTATTGAACTGACGATAGCACGCTTTTGAAGATTATTTTTCGAAAACCGAATTCAGAGAAAAATCTGCATCTCGTTGATTTGAAGATG